TACCTCCTGGCAGCGCAGCGGTGGAGACGGTCCGGCCAACACCGAAAAACAGAGAGAGAAAGAGAGCGAGAGCGCTCACCCTCAGTCCTGGGGCAGCCCAAAGTCCCTGGCCCCGGCCCACGGTGACAGGCACCCTGGCACCCCGACCGTCCGAGGTGCCCACAGCTCTCGTCACCGGCCCCAGATTTCACCAGCGCCCACCCCCAATTTGGTCCCTCATCTCTGGCTCTAGACCCGTAATCCTGGAGAGCCTTTATACAGGATAAAACCTTTCCCCATCATCCCTTGGCTGGCCGGGAAAGGCAGGGAAGAGGGGATGGAAAAGGCATCGGGTGGAAGAAGCCCCCGGGAGCCCAGCGAGGCCCCGCTGGGACCCCCGTGGGGTGACAGTCCTGGTGCTGCTGCCCCAGTTTTACAATAGCAAGCCCAGAAGGAGCAGGCTAAGATGGACGTCGCTGCCTGGGGAGGCAGAGCTGCTCCCCCGGGGCCCTGAAAGCATGCCAGGGGGTGGGGGGGGCAGCGGGGACTCAAATCCTCCCGGCAGGCAGCATCGCTCGCCCCACGGGATGCTCCGAGGCGGGTTTCGTGGTAAGGCAGGAGCATCCTTGCAGCCCCAGGGAGGGCAAGGCAGGGTTTTTGGATGGCAGCTCGAAGCAGAGGCGCAGGAGGCAGCTCCGGAGGGGATGTCTCTCGCTCCGGCGCAGCGGCGTTTGCACCGCAATCGATAGCCTGCGTTCCTGTGCCGTGATTAGTAACACTGCGGCGCCCGGCAGCTCCCTGCGGCGCGGCTTTCGGCACACGGCCGCCGGCCTCCTCCCCGCCACACCGTGGGTCACGGTCCCCGCCACCGGTGCTGCTCAGCCGAAAACCCCACAAATCCATGGGATTTGGTTATTAATCCCTGCTAACCGCCGGCAGGGCCGCAGCCCCCCCGGCCTGGCAGCCCTGGCACAGCCGGGCAGGCCCCGCACGTGCTCTTAGCGCCTGGGGATGAGGGTCTCTCAGCCCCAAACCCCCCCAGGGATGCCCAGCGTGGTGGGGGCACAGCCGCACATGGTCCCCCTCAAGCATCTGCAGCCGGTCAAGGTCCCAGATGCCCAGCGCTGGTGTTGGCCAGCCGGGTACATTGCTGGCGGGGGTCTCCGGGGGGGGTGGTGGGTGTTTACTTGCACCCTTATCCATGCTCTGTCCCCCTAACTGGTTTATCTGGGGGGGGGGGGGGCCCCCGCCCTGCCCAGTGGTGGGGCACATCTCCCAGCAGTGCATCCTTGCTGCCAAGGTGAACCTGAGTGCACATCTGAACAAAGACCGGAGGGGCTGTCTCGGGGTGGGGGGGGGGGTTGGCTTGGGGGGTGCCCCCACCCCGCTGGGCTGCCGCAGGTCCCCCGGGTCCCCCCCCGGGATGGAGCTGCAGCACCGTGCCCTCGCCCTGGGGGTAACGTGAGGGCAGGGGTGTAAAACGAGCCCAGGAGAAATCTCCAGTTGCCCTCCCCCCCCCAAAAAAAATAAAGGGCTGGAACAAAATGCCGTCGAGGCTGTTACTAAAGGCTGCGTAAAAGCAAGGGGTTAGGGGACCCCCCCCTCCCCGAACGTGCCAGGTCACCTGCCGTCGCTCCGGCAGTGTCTGCATCCTCCCTGCCGTGTGTCCCCCCCCACGCCCCCCCGAGCCCAGGGACCACCACCCCACCGAGCCAGGGCCGCCTCCGGCTGCGGCACACCGGGGCCCTCCCCGCCTGCCCCACGGCGAGCTGTCACCGAGGGGCCGAGGCCACGGGCGCTGCCCTCGCCGCTGCCCACGAAGGGCAGGCGGGACCCTGCCTGCACCTCTGCCTGGGCCCCCACGGGGGACACGGGGGGGGGGACCCGGGAGGGGGCAGGGGACAGCACACCCCCCCCGGCCCTGCCCGGGGTGGCCTTGGCGTCAGCCACGCCGGTTTTGACTTCGATGCCCACGTCGGGAACGGTGGTCCTTTGGCGTCGGCTCTACCGAAGCCGGGGAGCATCCCCCGGGTACCGGGGCCGGCGGGATGCGGGCAGCGCCGAGCATCCCCGGCCGCCCGCGGCGGGGCCGGCCCCCGGGACACCGGGGGAC